TCCCCAAATGAGCCACAGCATCTACAAATCTTTTATGGAGCTGTGGAGTCCACACGAGCCGCGGCCTCTTCAGGGTGCGTGCCGGTTCATCTGCGCCCAACCCGCCTCCATCCCCTCCTCCCCCGCCCAACTCAGCCGAGTCGAATTCCGCTGAGGAGTTGGGTTGGGAGGAGAGAACCGTGGATTGGGGCAGCTGAGGCGGAGTGCTTTGGTAGTGATGGTTCCGAATATCAAAGAAAAGTGCTAGATCAGGGGTTATTAGGGATTGGGACAAAGGCATCAGTTCTTCAGGTGAAGGCAGTTCTTCTTCCCATTTGGCAAACCAATTGGAATCCTCTTCCCTCATACTTATCCCTCTTCTTGAATATAATGAAATTTTCTTGTGGGACACAGTTTATCTTCTTCTGAGTTTCAAGATTTTGTATAACTAATCAAAATACGGAATAACATACATGGGCAAAATTTCTATTTTCTTTCCTTCCTCTCTCTCCCCTTGAAGAAAGATTTGAGTTTTGAGATAACAGAGTGATATATGTTTGTGTGTGAAAGGGGGTGTCCCCCCGCTGCGCACGGTAGTGGTGGATGGTGGTGATCGAGGTGGATCTTATATTCTTGTTTTCAGGATTTTTATGGGAATAGGAATAGTAATAGTACTGTGGGCTCTCCTGCTTCAATTTTCCAAAAGGAAATCTTATTTTTCAATGATTCACACATACATACAAAACACATGTATGTATATTTCTTCTCTGTGTGTTCTAAGAGACAGAAACCATTATATGTCTTGGAGCGTGAACAACACACTGAATTTTCATTGGATTAATCCTTCTGAAACAGTCAAAATTTGGGAGAATGTTGGAGGAAAAGGACCAAGATATGTTCTTTGGGAGTGTGTAAGACACGCTATTTGTTTATGGATGGAGTTTTTTTGTACTTGTGGAGTAGGCGTAGGGGGCGGGGGAATCTGATTGGGGTTGGGAGTAATAATAAATTATTGGAAAAAGGGAATTTTCTTGACTTGTTCTTGATGTTGGACGTGGGAACTAGATGACTTTCTTTATAGGATCATTTAGTTAAACCTCAATTTCAACATCACAAAACTAGTGTGTGTATTAAAAATGTCCATTCGAGATACCTTTCGAATACCATTTTCATAAATATGTGAACTGATGAAAAGGATATGATTAACCAAAACTTTATGATAGTACCTTCTTGAATACTAATCTGAACTAAATCTCGGTACTTAGTTTGAGATCACAAAAGTTAATTTCATAATTAAAAATCACGATACATAAACATTGAGTATAACTTATTTATGTTATTTTTGGTTGCTCGATGGTGAGTGTTTGGTTGCAATTATAAAGGCCCATGGCCGTGGGACATCAAGATTGTTCATTTTTCAAGATATCAGAGAGGTTAATGGAGTCTTGCTACAATTATAAGTGAACACATGTACGAGTAATCACTCCAAAAAAGGCAAGGAATCTCAAATAACTCGAAAAAACCAAAAGCTACAACTTCCATATTTTCAGTAAATGTTTAATATGTAATATTAAACATGAATAAGTTGTGCAATTTTCTTTAACATACCTTGCAGTGAGGGAACAATAGAAAATCTTGGACTCTAATTTATCCATACACGAGTATTTCCATTGCTAAATTTCATGATAGCTTGTAACCATTTAATTCCTTCTACTTGTACACTTGGTATTATTGTAGAAAATTTATTAAAAAAAATAAAAATAATTTTGCTTGCAATAACCCAACCAATTGTATCATAACTCATCATTCCAAATTAAATTAATCAACGTAAAACAAATGGAACAATAAGAGAAATAGTCTTCAGCCAAAATATCGAGTGTCGTGAAAAGTTAATAAAGGAACTCAATCGTATCAATTAATTTAAGATTAATCTGTAAATATATCTATTTACAAAATCAGTTCAGTTGATGTCTGAAAAGGGCATCGTCCGACTCTTTACATCTAGCATTCTTCGGACATATCAGCTACATATCGTCTGTACAGGTGAATAATGTAAAATGCGCTCAAGAATCTCAATCCTCGTACACAAAATTTTACAAATGAAATGCGCGATCAATTAACATGGGACCCCAAAATTTATGAAGAGAACATGGAAATATGTCACATACCGATCAGCTCAAGAATCTGATTGTAAAATGGTTTTTGGGAGCCGATACAGAAAATGCACGGTAGATTTTATTAGGCTCCTGCTCCACCAAATAACATGCATAGTTTCAAATGAGTTCACCCAACAATGCAAACACCAAAGTCATCAATGCAACAAAAAAGTGGTTTTAAGTGATATATAGCAACATGAGTAAAAAAAAAACTATGCATGTTTGACATTAAGCATCAGATAATATAACAGACAAGATTTTAGATTCTTTTTCTTCTTTCATACTCATTCCTGGTAAACCCCCCTTTCCAAATGTGCCATCTAGGAACAGATGACGTAATCAACCACAGGAAAATGATAAGGAAAATCCCCAGGAGTTACAGTTTAAAATGGCATGAGATTTCAAGGATAGACTTGGAAAAAGAACATGTTGAATGACTTCAGAAATTCATGTTCTCGACATCTATGCATTCCATGCCAGTTGTCGACATATAGTTGTTTTTTACACAATAATTATTTTGGATTGCACCTCGTTGAATTGCAGAAATGACAAAAATTTTCATCCCTTTGAGATGTCCAAGGTAATTAAACTGTGTTCTAACAAGTTCGTCAAAACGATGCCTCCAATTTCTAAACGGTTGAATTTTTTCCTACCTCTCTTTCGTCTTTCCTAGACGCGTTTTATAAGTTTTATTTTTTTTCATTTTTAAGTCTTTTATTTGAATTTAATTTATTAATTTATTAATTTTTTAACAAAACTTTTTATTTGACTTTAATTTCAAGTTTTTAAAAGATTTTATATGTATAAAGTTAAAAATGACTTAAGTTAAATAAAATTTAAGTTATGATGCTATCTACATTATGTAATTATGATATTGAGACTCGTTATTTTGTTTCAAACTCCAAAAGCATGTATAAGGTTCCTATAAATTTATTAAGTAGGACTTGTCTAGTTGAAAATTGAAACTATGAAAAATATTTTAATTTTTGCATTTCGAAAACTTGAAAATTTTATAATTGACTAATGGTAGAAATTATTAAGTAAATATAGTATTTTATAATTTTAGATGTTTGATATGTATTTTTTAGTTATTAAATGATTAAAAAATTAAAATAATATTAAAATTAAGAAAACTTTTCGCCTAAACTTCGTCTCCATGTCTAGCCACGTTTTACGCTTTTTAGAACACTGTAATTAACAAAGGAATGCTTTCGTCAATTTCACCTATTGACTTGGCAGAATATTTAGGTGCACTTTATTACTGTCTTCACCCCTTAAAATCAATTAAGATTGTGTTACTAGTGTAGGAAGGGGAAAAGGAGAGGGAGGGACTGTTGTATATGCAATTTTGGGTAGAAGATATTTCTCATCTTCTTTTGAATTTCTTTCATCGGTTGAGAGAAGTTGTTGGGTGGAAGGTAGGAAAAAAGTATTACTTAAATTTACAAGACGTTACTTTTTGAGACAACCAAAATTAGAAGGGAGAATGTTGTTTGTACAGCCTTTGTATACAGTACTGCCCACTCACATGGGGTGGGCCCCACATTTGAGAATGCTGTTTGTACAGCCTTTGTACATAGCTTTGTGTACAGCCCACTCACATGGGGTGGGCACCACAAAAATGTGGGGCCCACCCCATGTGAGTGGGATGTACACAAAGCTATAAATAGAAAGCCTAAATGACCAACTAGTCTAACACAAAAAAATAGAAAACCTAAATGATCTTCCACAAAGGGTTTTACAATGGATAAAGATAGTTGATTTGGTTTCCTCGAGCGAGGTTGACGAGCCGAATATTTTTCATAGGGAGTTGAGTAAAAACGTGTAAGAAACTCAGTGGACAACTTCTCATAAAACTCTTAACCAGATGCCTAGACTTCTTGTATCACAGCTCTCAAATGATCCATTGTTATTACCCCGTTAGTTGGATCCTCTTGATACCATGACACGACATAGTGAACTAAAGACATTATAAAGAAGAAAAATCTATGTATCTTTGAATATTTATTGTTATGGGCCTCAGAGGCCATCCGCCTCGTCCATCCAGTTCGTTCACCACGTGTTGCACGAACTGATTCTGTATTTGCCACACCTTACATTCACCTCCCTACTCCTGCCAAGATCTTTTATGAGGAGATCTCCTCAAAATCAAATCCTTAGCCTGATTGATGAGACATTTGGTAGACTTCAAACGATCAACTCAAATGCTATGTCAGGGAACATTTAATACCTGTCAACCTATGGATTGACAAATTGATGCCTATGAAAGGATGACATGTCCAGGATCCTAAGCCGCGAGTCCCTACATCCAACGATTCTCCTTTCCATTTCTCTTAGTATAAATACTCCCACATTAAAGTAAGAAAGGGGTTGGGATTCTGATTTTTGATATTGAATTTCTTAAATCTAAAGAACACATATTTATACAAATTCACAGCCACGTTCCGGTGACCACTTCACCATCAAACGTCTCTTTCCGATTTATAAAATCACTAACTTGACTGTTGGAGTGCTTTCGACAGCTTCCACCCCCACCAAAAAAGCCCACGAGTGACTAACGATATGTTACCGTATGCAAGAAGGAGCTTACCATGTCTATTTTGTTGGCCACGTGCCGTAACTATTTTTCGGGGTCAACAGATTAGCGACGTATGTGGGAACGTTACTATAACCACGAGTATCGCCATGAAAGAAATAGCTCATCGGAATATTTGGTCGATATTCTCCCTTGAAAAAGGGATTAGTTCTTGAAGCAAGAACAAGTAGAAGCCATGAACTAAGTTTCAATTGTTTGGAAAAAAAAATTTGCAACTCCAAACCAATGAGTTCCAGCAATGAAGAAGTGAACCCAAGGAGGGTAAGAGAGATCATTGAAGAAGAGATAATTCAGAATAATGTCACACAACAAAGGCCCCATCATCGATGTTACAGGGGAGGAAGAACCGCTGCGTGACTGACTACTGAAGTAGCTCGCATGGTTACTAACATAAGAGGCATTTCAATCCAAAATGCAGCCATACAAGAACTTCTCATGAAGGTAAATAATCAATGAGGCTTCCGAGCCCATCAAAATCCTCCACAATTAGCTCGCGACCAACAAACTGAAGCGGAGCCGAGCCAGAGGACTCATTCGAGTCGACAAAGAGAGGCTCCAGTTGAAAGGGAAGTGGAAGTAGACACTTCCAATTACACCGCCCTCCAACTGATGACA